CACACACAGGACCACACACACACAGACACACACACACAGACACACACAGACACACACAGACACACACACACAGAGACACACACACACAGACACACACAGACACACAGAGACACACAGACACACACAGACACACAGAGACACACACACACACGACACACACACACAGACACACACACAGACACACACAGACTCACACACACACCACATACAACAGACAACACACACACACAGACACACACGACACACACACCAGACACACACAGACACACACAGACACACAGAGACAAAGGCAATGTAGCTGTACACTGGACTCGCACTTAAAATTGTATTAAATTTTTGTTTGAATTTAATTTAATCTCGCTCCTATGTGTTGCAAGTTTCATCTTGTACTCGTTACGTTCTGCTTAATTTAATTTGCCATGCCTTAGCATTCGCTGTAATTTGTAACAGTTACGTGTGTACTCGTGTGACATTTGTTCTCGTTTGAGAAATAGTCTTTCAGTCTCGATTTGACTCGGCTGCTTTAAAAAACAGAACATTTACTTTTACGAAACAAAGATCCCCCCCAAAAAAGCATTAACATAATTTCGTGGCAAAGTGCCATCAGCGAGCTCCTATGAAGGCTGGCATGCCCAGCACCACGCCCAACCACCTTTGTCTCCCCCATGGCGATGTTTACAGCCACCCACTCATACACATGCCCCGCTACAAAGACAAAGATCCCAGCATGTTTTTTTTAAATCAGACTCTTGGGCAAGTGCTGTTAGCGAGCACCTATGAAGGCCGGCACGGCACACGAGGGGTCGGATGGCCAACACCACGCCCGGTCGCCTTTGTTTCCCTAGTGACGATGTTTACACATCGCACCGGACACTCATTTGAGGCTGAGTCGACCTAGGGGAGGACCAGGACCGGTTCAGATAATCGTCACCGGCGGAAATCGAACCCTGGTCGCCAGGTTCGTAGCGCAGCATAACACTAACCGCTACACCACCGCTCTGGAATCGGACCCACGACTTCCTGCGTACCAGGCAACATTCTCCGTGGCGCCCACATTCACAAATCTACATACACATATAAACGTATGTCACATGCACGCACACGCACACACACACAAAAGCACGCAACAAACAGACAAAGAGCCCCTGCGTAGGCTAGGTAAGACCGTTGGAGAGAGCGGCGATACAGCGAGCAGCCATTCAACGGCGGATCGGCGCACGATGATGATGGGGCTGAGTCAACGCCAAAGCAGGAGTTGAACTCGCCTACGTGACTTTACCGAAAAACCAAAGAGAATGTTATCACCCTTGCCCGGTACGCAGGAGGTCATGGGTTCGATTCCGGACCCTGACGATGCCTGTCGTTGTATATTTGGAGTCCGCGTGATCTCTCTCTCTCTGTGGATTTTTCTCGGGGCTCCTCCGTTTTTAGAAACACGCGTTAAGAGTAATTGGCTGCGACTACAAATCCCCACGTGCGATGATAATGATGATGGTGGTGCAAGCCACTTCGACGACGAAAAGCTATCGTCACGTGCGATGGGCCAAGGTCGCCTCTGAAAAGGGCCAATATATCTCAGTGGCCTTCACCCGGAATTTGTTTAAATAAATAAATAATACTCTTTGTTTTTTCGGTAAAGTCACGTAGGTAATAAATGAAATTAAAATTAATAAAAATAATGTAATAAAAATCACGACGTTACGGAGGCAACACAAGTCTCCATCAAGTGAGGCCCACTTGGTCAGCAAATCTGGCTGTGACGGTCCCACCTGATGACGGAGACTTGTGTTGCCTCCGAAACGTCGTGATTTTTATTATTTTATTTTATTCATTTCTTCATTTCTTACCTACGTGGCTTTACCGAAAAAACTAAGAGTATGAATCCTTGCAGTCACGAAAGCTTCAAATATATAAATAATAATAAAAAGAGTTTTCATTTAGGATGGGGCCCAGCTGCTACCGGACGCGCGATGCACCGTGGCGGGTCGTTAAGCGCGGGACGTGCGGGACGTGCGGGCGGTGTTCACCTGCAGGTCCCTGTTGTGGTTCTCGCACATGAGCTGCAAGAAGCGCAAGATGGCTCCATGATGACCACAACGGGACTCATCTCCCCGTCGTCGCGCGTCGCGCCAAGGGCCCCCGCCCCCCCTCCGCCGAGCCCCCCCCCCACCCACGATGGGGCCCCCGCCGACTCCGCTGACGACTCCGGCGCCGGCGATGCTGCCCGCCGCGGCGGCCGCGTCGTCCGGGTCGAGGTCGCGACCCCGCCGGTAGTGGCTGAAGGCCTTTTGGGTGGCGACGGTGGCTTCGGCCAGCTGATCGCGCATCTCCTCGCTTATGCCCGCGACCGAACTCCTCACTGACGCACGCACGCACGCGAAGACAAAGATCCCACGTATAGCCTCGAACAGAAAATTTAACTAAACCATTTTTATTTATTTTAAATGTTATGCTACTCCCCTCCGGCAGAAGGCTGCGGTCCATCAGGACCAAAACCTCACGTCATAAAAACAGTTTCTTCCCATCCGCTGTTGGCCTCTTCAACTTCAACAGGTCAAGGGCTTAAAATGACTTTTACACTTAAAATGACTTTTACACTTAACATTTTATCTACAAAATTACACTTGCCATATTTACAACATGTTACCCTATTGTATTTTGTATTTTAAGATTGTATATTACGGCTAGTTTACTTTTATATTGTATACTTATTCAAATTTACAACTTTTTAGTATAGTTACTTTGTAATTTTAGTATAGTTAGACTGCATACCACTTATTTAAGTTTTAAGATTCCTACATGATGAATATGCACCTTCCTGACATAGTAAATTCCTTGTCCGTGCGAACTTTCAGCGAATAAAACCCTTTCTGATTCTGATATTCGAGTTGGTGTCGTCGGGATGGCAGCCAAAGGGAGTGGAATGCTTCCCGGGAAGAGTACGTCATCCGTTGAGATGGAGCGACGAAATATATAACTTTTTCATTTCACCAGGTGAGGCCCACTGAGCTATTTCGCTCTTCTCCAGAAGTGAGCTGGCTATCACAAATGATAGCTCAACGAAGTGGCTCATTAATGTATAGCAGCCAAATATTGCTGCTATACATTAAGAGCTTGCATCTTGGAATCCTGCCTCACTTGATACAGCAAATCTGGCTGTGACGGTCCCACCTGATGACGGAGACTTGTGTTGCCTCCGAAACGTCGTGATTTTTATTTTATTTTTATTAATCTTAATTTCATTTTTTACCTACGTGACTTTACCGAAAAAACTGAGAGTACAAATATTGCCCGCCACTGATGAGTGCCGTGAGCAGGTCTCCATGGGAGTCGGCGTGTCTCTTTGCGAGTTTGTATGCGTCATCGTCATCATCATCAGCATCTCATCATCATCAGCCATGATCACTCCACTGCTGGATGAAAGCCTCCTCATGCCATTGTGTGGGCTCTATGTGAGTCCATGAATCAATCGGTCTCATCATCATCATCCCCTACGTAAGTCCGTGAGCCTACATGTCACTCGAGAACCCGGTCCACACGCACAGCGGCTGTGATCTCAAGCGGTGACCGGCTCAGTATCTAGGCTCATCCGTGCAACTCCAGGACATCTGTGACAACGAGAGTCGTAGCCCATCGGATACCTCCAGTCTAAATGTTGCGTGTATGTACGTTGAACTTATTTCGCGCCGTACGTAGCCAACCATGCTTATCGGAGGACGGATAACAAACTAAACACAAAACTCAGTTCTAAGAGAAATTCGTTTTCAATTCAGATTTAAAAGTGCAAAGCTCCCAGTGACTTCCGAATATCGGAAGGAAGAGCGTTCCAGACGGCCGCAGAAACACATCAGAAAGCGCCGGGCGATGCGGCCACCGTCTTCGTCCGATGTTTAGCCAAAAGCCGCTGCTGGGAAGATGACCGGAGTTCGCGTGACGACGGCTTATGCTCCATGACGAGATCAGCGAGGTATCGTGGTTCATTTGTGGCAAAACATTTGCATGCAAATGAGTGCGACCTCATAATGTTTTCATTCAGCGGTCAATCCAGTTCAGCAAGCACCGGACGGACACGGTCGGAAATTGCGGTGAACAAAAACTAAATTCTGATCAAGATACCGAGTTTCTCTTACCTGAGAGCTCGGGGTAAGCATTTACACCATTGGTACCTCATTTGCCAGTAAAAAATATGAATTTTTTTTTACCCTTTGATCTGGCAACAAAACTGACACCTTTTTTACGAGGAGTCATGTTTGCATAGACCATAATACCTGCAGTCATAATGCAAACAAAAACATAACTCTGATAATGGTGCGCCTTTTGGCGTCATCTGGTCCAACCCATGTGAGACTAGGCTCTAAGGAAAGCTGTCTCGGGTGTGGACCAATATACTTCAAGGACAGTGCATACATTATCAGAGTTATGTTTTTTGTTTGCATCATGACTGCAGGTATTGTGGTCTATGCAAACATGACTCCTCGTAAAAAAGGTGTCAGTTTTGTTGCCAGATAGAAGGGTAAAAAACCAATTATCATTTCTACATTTGAAGCTTTCGTGACTGCAAGTATTCATATTCTTACCAGTATATATACGGGGTACGGGGTAGTATCTCTTGGAATCTCTCATTTACTTGATACAGCTATCGTGCTGTGACGGTTCCACCTGAAGACGGAAGCTTGTGTTGCCTCCGAAACGTCGTGATTTTTATTTTATTTTTATTTTACTTTTATTAATTTTAATTTTAATTTTTTACCTACGTGACTTTTCCGAAAAAACCTAAGAATACCAATTATCATGTCTCTGACCTCTGAACCCTGAGCATCCGCCAAACCGCCCCCCTCCCCCCCCCTTACTACGTCGGCGGCGGATGAGCGGCTCTCTCTCCGGTGGGCTCTCGTCGTCACGGCGCCGGCCCCCAAGCTCGCTGGCGCTCACGGTCACCGTGGCCTTGATCTCCTGCTGGGCGGCCTTCATGCGCTCGTGAAAGACGCGGAAGAAGCACTCGGAGCGGCGGTCCTCCGTCAAGCGGCGGAAGAACGAGTGCTGGAGGGAGGGAGACGTGAAGATCAACGCGAAGATCAACGCAAGGATCATCATCATCATCAAGGATCCGCAACCTCCGCTTGAGCGAGGTTGGCTACGTACGGTGCGAAAAAAGTTCAACGTACATACGTAACGTCGTGATTTGATTTGTTTTTATTTTGTTTTATTTTACATTTATTTAATTTTATACCTACGTGACTTTAGCAAAAGAACTAAAAAGTATGGATCATTGCAGTCACGAAAACTTAAGATCTAGATTATACGTAAAAGGTTCACGGGTGCGAATGATGGAGTGGTGAGAAGGTGAGTGAGTGTATGGATGAGTAGGTAAGAGTGTGAGTGTATGGATGAGAAAGTGAGAGAGTGAGTGTATGGGTGAGTAAGTGAGAGGGTGAGTGTATGGGTGAGTAGGTGAGAGAGTGAGTGTATGGATGAGTAGGTTAGAGAGTGATTGTATGAATGAGTAGTTGAGAGAGTGAGTGTATGGGTGAGTAGGATAGAGAGTGAGTGTATGGGTGAGTAGCTGAGAGAGTGAGTGTATGGATCAGTAGGTAAGAGAGTGAGTGTATGGATGAGTAGGTTAGAGAGTGATTGTATGAATGAGTAGTTGAGAGAGTGAGTGTATGGGTGAGTAGGATAGAGAGTGAGTGTATGGGTGAGTAGCTGAGAGAGTGAGTGTATGGATGAGTAGGTAAGAGGGTGAGTGTATGGATGAGTGAATGAGAGAGTGAGTGTATGAATGAGTAGTTGAGAGAGTGAGTGGATGGGCGAGAAGGGGAGAGAGTGAATGGAGGGGTGAGTATGTGTAATGTATTGTGCTGTTTCTGTCCTCTCTCTAGACCATACATCTCAACCCCTTATCAGTGCCCTGCCTTATTGCATACCAATTCAGACATTAGTGGTCACCCCGTGCCACTTATAAATCTCAACGTTTATCCTACTGTCGCATCACATGGGAGAAACACAAACAAACAAACTAAACAATTGTTTTGCCCGTATTTTAAACTCAATTTCCCCGTATAAGAATATGCTATGCTGCACCTGTGCTACAGTGTTGCGCGGGTTCCCATATACAGGGTGCATCAAATTTATTTTAACATTTCTGAGAATTTGCAACAACACCACGAGAAATGTGCCTCCTCCGGCCTCTGGAGACCACCTGGGGAAGATTCCAGGCGTAGCGTTGACGACGATGGCAATCGAGTGGAGACTCTTTGACTTTGTGAAGCTATTAACGTTGCATTTGTTATTACGTTACGGCGAATTATTACACTGGTCAACAAAAAAAAATTCTGGCCTGGACTTTTGCAGCTGTTTTCAGGATGCTGATTCCAAATCTGGTCTCAGATTTTCTCTATCACATCTAATTTTTATGCTATCGGCATAATCCATTTTCATTGATTTTACCCGAAATTAACTCTGTCACTTATGATTGCAAGTTGTTGCGAGTCAGTGACTGCTTTAGTGTTAAAATATGGTGCTGCATTTTTAGGATAGTGTGTTTTAATATCATTTTATGTAGATATCCACATTTATTTCAGATTTTTCTTCTGCAGTTTTGATTAAAAATGCAATATTTGATATCTCAAAAACCTGATGTGATAGACAAAAACTGATGCAGATTTGGAATCAGCACCCCAAAATTACCTTAAAACCGTTGGAATACCTTATGCCAGAAAAAGCATAACAAAAGGCGGCTTAATCCTAGCTGGCTTATCTACATATGCCATCTACATTACAAAGGCTCAGTTCCAGCAGCAGTACTGACCATCTCACAACTCCTCTTCTCCCGCGGCCCTTCCTGGCTCCCCCCCCCCCTAACCAGTATATAAGTTCGTACCTCTTGGGACTTCTCTCCACTTGATACAGATTTTTTTCTGTGACAGTTTCACCTGAAGACGGAAGCTTGCGTTGCCTCCGAAACGTCGTGATTTTATTGTTTTTATTTTAATTAATTTTCAATTCATTTTTTACCTACATGGTGACTTTACCGAACAAACTAAGAGTCAGAAAAAGTGTGTTGACCAGTGTTATCCGTTCTTTCTCCAATAAAAACGAACGGTCCCAAATTAAGTGTTCACATTTTTCGATTTAAAGCTGTTCGTGACTGCAGGGATTCATCTTCTTGGTTCTTTCGGTAAAGTCACGTAGAAGGGAAGTAATAAAATAATAAAAATTAAACATAAAAAAATAATTCTCACGACGTTTCAGCCACAACGCAAGCAGCCGTCTTCAGGTGACTTTACCGAAAGAACCAAGAAGATGATAATTGTTTTTTTACCCTTCTATCTGGCAACAAAACTGACACCTTTTCATCTGGTCCAACCCATGTGAGACTAGGCTCTAAGGAAAGCTGTCTCGGGTGTGGACCAATCAACTTCAAGGACAGTGCACATTATCAGAGTCATGTCTTTTGTTTGCATTATGACTGCAGGTATTGCGGTCTATGCAAACATGACTCCTTGTAAAAAAAGGCGTCAGTTTTGTTGCCAGATAGAAGAGTAAATACACAATCATCATATTTTTACTGGCAAATGAGGTTCCCATGGAACCAAGAAGATGTTCACGTTTTTGCTTCGAGGCACCCTTCCACAGCGGCGGTGTGGCCGCCCACCTGTATGGTGGTGTTGCCGCCCTCGAGCAACGCGATGCCGAGGAGGATGGTTTCGTGGAAGACCCGGTCGCTGGCGGCGCCCATGATGAGGTCGATGACCAGGTCGGCCGCCCCCTCCCTCTCCAGGTGGCACTGCACCTCCACTAGCGTCATGTCGGCGCGCCGGTGCTGCTGCTGCTGCTGCAGGTGATGCTCCTGCAGCGCTGCCACCGCGCCTAGGCCTGGTGGGGTGGGGGGGGTGGGGGGCAGCGGTGAGGGGGGCGGCCACAACGGCCGCCACGGTGGCCACGGCGGTTGACAATCGAGGAGGGAGGGAGGGAGACAAAGAGGGAGCGAGATGAGGGAGGGAGGCAGGGAAGGAGGGGGAGGGGGGACGGTGAAGGTCACGGCGAGCTGGGGGAGACTGCTCGCCTGAGGATCGCGCGACGACACAATGCGTCAAACGGTGTGACACGGAAAACACGCACGCACACGCACACACACGCACACGCACACACGCGCACAAACACGCACACGCACAAAAATAAAGACAAAGATCCCCCGTATAGCCTTAACAGACTGTAGGGGCAAGTGCTGTTAGCGAGCACCTATGAAGGCCGGAACGGTACACGAGGGGTGGGTGGCCAGCACCACGCCCGACCGCCTTTGTCTCCCCAGTGGCGATGTTTACACACCGCACCAGGTACTCATTTAAGGCTGAGTCGACCTAGGGGAGGCCCAGAACCGGTTCAGATAATCGTCACTGGTGTTAGCCATGAGCGGGAATCGAACCCGGGTCGCCAGGTTCATAGCGCAGCGCGCTAACCGCTACACTACCGCTCCCAACAAACACGCACACGCACACACACGCACACACACACGCACACACACACGCACGCACACGCACACACACGCACACACATGCACACATGCGCACAAACACGCACACGCACACACGCACACAAACGGACACATGCGCACACACGCACATACACGCACGGGCAAATGGGCGCACATGCGCGAACACACTGTCACAGATCACACGCCAGCATGCTCTCTCTCTCTCACAAACACGTGCACACACACTCACTAACACGCAACAAATAGACAAACGCGGCACACTACACAACACCGGCCGCCGTGCGTCCCGCCAGATGCACTACGAGGACATCACGTGACGCGCCGAAGGTTCGCTGGCGGGGAGGTCACGGGACAGACCCAGCAGGTGCCGTGGGCTGACTGACCGAGATGACCGGCAGATGCACCACCCGTGCCTCCCACTGTGCCAACTCGCTGTGTTTTAGCCGCCCGGCGCTCCGCTCGTTGTTATGAGCGTCGCTACCCGGCCTCCATTTTTGTTGGAGGGACGACTGCCTTTAACTGCCCAGTAGCGTCCTTCACGAGCCTCCTCCACAGAGGCCGATCTTGACACCGCTGGTACCAGTCATCGGCAAGTCCACTCAGCTCCACGTCCTCCTGTACCACGTCACTCCATCTCTTCTCTCGCCCGTGCCGTGCCCATTTAGCCCCCTCTATCCAGCCAAACAGAACCTGTTTGGACATGCGGTAGCTGGACGTGCAGGCTACATGACCCAGCCAACGCAGCTTTGCCTGCCGGAGCAGCCCACCGATGATGGAGACCGCGTCCAGATCTTTCAAAGGACCTGTGAACTCCGTACACTGTATTCTAGCCTGCAGCTTAAACCCAGGATGGATGGCAGGCACGTTCTCCCGCACCGTCAATTGGCCCAGTTGGCTACGTACGGTGCAAAAGAAGTTCAACATACAAACACTATTACATTCACCCACTCACTCACTCTCCCACTCACCCACTCACAGTCGGCTACGTACAGCCCGAAATAAGTTCAACATACACACATACACTCACCCACCCACTCATTGACCCACTCACCCACTCACTCACCCACTCACCCACTCACGGTTGGCTACGCACAGCCTGAAAGAAGTTCTACATACATACACTCTCCCACTCACGCACCCACCCACTCACCCACTCACGGTTGTCTACATACAGTCCGAAAAAAATTAAATATACATACACTCACCCACTCACTCACCCACCCACTCACCCACCCACTCTCCCACTCACTCTCCCACCCACTCACCCAATCACGGTTGGCTACGTACGGTCCGAAAGAATCTCAACCACGGGCACACACGTTTCTTCACCGCCACGGCCCCCCACTCCGACACATCCCAACGCAGCGGCGCTCAGCAGGGGGACTCACCTGTCACGTGCGGCGGGGTGGGGCGGCTCGCGGCGGCGACGGCGGCGGCGGCGGAGAGCGGCCCGTTCACGTAGTAGGCCATGCTGGCGCGGCGAGCGAGGCCGCCCCCCGCGCCGCTGGCGCTGCCGTAGTAGCGGTTGAGCAGCGTCTGTCTCAGCGCCTCTCCCTGCTCACGCGGCGGTGACAACGGTAGCAGCAATGACCATAGTGGCAATAACAACAATCTTCTTGGTTCTTTCGGTAAAGTCACGTAGAAGAGAAATAATAAAATAATAAAAATGAAACATAATAAAATACTATTCTCACGACGTTTCGGCCACAACGCAAGCAGCCGTCCTCAGGTGAAGACCAGGTCTGTCGGGGAGACAGCGTCTGAATTTCAGACGCTTCTACGTGACTTTACCGAAAGAACCAAGAAGATGAATCCCTGCAGTCACGAAAGCTTTAAATCGAAAAATAACAACAATATCGATAATAACAACGGTAATAGCAACAACTATAATAATAACAACAATGATAACAATAACAGCAGTGACAACAATAACAATAGTAACAGTACAAATAATACCAATAATAACACTAATAACAATAACAACAATACTAACAATAACAACAATCGTCTTGGTTCTTTCGGTAAAGTCACGTAAAAGGGAAATAATAAAAATAAAACATTAAATATTTTATTATTTCCCTTCTACGTGACTTTACCGAAAGAACCAAGAAGATGAATCCCTGCAGTCACGAAAGCTGTAAATCGAAAAATAACAACAATAACAACAACGCCAACAACAATATCAACAATAACGGCAGTAACAACGATAACGACCGTCGTTGTTTTAATTTGCAACGCGCCACCGCCGCCACTGCCACTGCCGTCGCACCCGGGTCTGTCCCGTGACCTCCTTGCCAGTGAACTTTTGACGCTCCGAATGTATACGTGCGTGTGTGTGTATGTGCGCATGCTGAACTTCTTTCGCGCCGTACGCAAGCCTACCGTGGTAATCGGAGGTGCGGGTTCAATTTCGGACAACGGTTAACATCGGAGGAGATTGACTGCAACCGGTCCTGAGCCACTGCGAGGTCGACTCAGCCTAAAACGAGTGCCTGGCTGCAGTGTGTAAGAGCATCATCGGCGGGGAGACAGGGGCGGCATGTGTTGACTCTCGCAGGCGCTCGCTCACAGCGCTTGCTCCGACGGCTTGCGTAGGCTACACGGGGGATCTTTACCTTCATCCGTGTGTTTGTGGTGTACGTGTGCGCGCTGAGACAAAAATTTCCGTTTGTTGATGCGATATTTATGGTCTTTAATTTTCATTTCCTCCCATCAAACTCGATGTTCCTTGCTATGTACGTTGAACTTCTTTCGCGCCGTACGTAGCCAACCGTGCTAATCGGAGGTGCGGGGGAAGGACAACAAAAAGCAGTTCTAAAGCAGTTTTAAAAGTGCATTGCTCGAGTGGCATCCTAATATCGGAAGAGCGTTCCAGACGGCCGCAGAAGCGCATCTGAAAGCGCCGCGCGATGCGGTGATCACCGTCTTTGTTCGATGCTTAGCCAACAGCCGCCGCTGCGAGGATGACCGGAGTTCGCGTGATGCTTTATGCTCCTTGTGTCACAGCACTTTGCGTCATGAGTGCGGCCTCATTACGTATTCGTTCGATCGCCGCAAATCCAGCGCAAGCTTGGCGAGCACCGGACGGACGCCGTGGTCGGATCTTGGAGTACCCAGTCACGACACCTGCCTGAGGACGGCTGCTTGCGTTGTGGCCGAAACGTCGTGAGAATTATTTTATTATGTTTTATTT